TGCAATTCCCGAGACAAAGTTCACCAGGTGATTCCAGGAACAACAGCAAAGCTCACATTTGCTTTATGCTGAAGCCACAGACTAAGGCTTACAAACCGGGGTGGCTGGGGGGTGTCAAGCAACAAAAGGCTTAGTGGGAACAGGTGAAGCCAGCCACAGGATGTTAAATCATGCTTTTTAAAGCCATGGGCGGTAGAGCCGCTGATGGGTTCACAGCCCACGTGAATCTGGAGCCCAGCCAGCCGGCTGCTCTCCACAAATGCCCTTTGGCCTCCCCGACGTCTCGCTGTGTCTGCACGCCCGGCTCTTCTATGAACGCACTGGCCTAAGTAGCAACACGGTCTTGTGCCACGCGCAGAGCGCAAGGAACCCCATTAGACGGAGGGGCCGCCTCCCTCGTTGCCCGGCAACCAGGCCACGGGGTTCTGGAACGCGGCTTGGAACAGCCGCCCGAGGCTCTGTGAGCAGACACCAATGGGGCGGGTGGCAGGGTGGGCCGTGGGGCTCCTGATGAACTGCACTCTGTGGCACCTCGGCTGGTCGCAGCGACCCGGCTGGTACTATGGGGGTCTGGAGGCCCCCTTTGGGAAGACTCTCGACGGCTCCCAGACGCCCGCGGGCTTTACCCTCAACGCCCAGGCGCTGCTCTGGTACAGCTACTGGGTGGTCATCAGCATGTTGGTGGTGATCGCTGTCTCCTCCATTGGTCTGTTCCTCCAACAATTTCTTCGAGCCCAGCAGGTGAGGCCCAATGGCGGGGAGAACAAGGGCAGCATGCCCTCTGCCCCGTGGCACCCATTGGCCAGCCCAGAACTCCACACCGGCATTGTCCGGGCCTGGACGTCCTGTGTGGGGAGATCAGACCAGGGCCCGGGCCCAGGCCCCCAGCCACAGCCTTCCATTGCCTGTGCCTGTCATGCAGCAAGACCCCCAGGGGGCTGGAGGAGCCCCTGCACCCTCGAAATGGGGGAAAGGAGGCCTGAGCAACCTTGAGCGGGTGGGACACCCTAAAGGGCTCCACAAAGTGTCCGCCCCTCTCCTTGGAAGCTGCATCCTTGGCACGAGGGGTGGCCTTGCTCTCGGCCATGCCACTTTCGGAGCAGGGCAGGCTGGCGGAACTTGCTGCCTCGTGGCCTTCTCCCACCTCCATTTTCATTTATCTGTCTGTCTGTCTGTCTGTCTGTCAAATTTCTGGGCTGCCCCACCCCAAAACAACCCTGGCTGCCTTTACAAAGTGAAGAGCAGCATATAAATCGCCTGATGGAACAAGAGGAACACATTTCTGCATTACACTTGCCCATCCCAGAGGGGTCCTGCCTCCAAAATCCTCACTGAAACCGGAGGGGGGGAATCAGTTTTAAGGAGCACTTGGGGGCAGGCAAAGCAAGGGCTGTATAGATCTCGGGGGGGGGGG